TAGCTTTTGTATATGCTGTTCTTTTGGTTCTGTTTATTTCAGCTGGACAGTTGCTAGACCTCCATCCTGTTCCAAGTTCCCACTTGGTTTCTGCTTTGCTGTTTCTAGGCTCTTATTATAGGCTCTCATTTACTCTCCCTGCCACATTTCTCCCTTCTCCAATCCATCCTCCTAAAGTGCAGGTCTGGCCATGGCACTCCCCTGTTTATTATATTCAGTTTATTGATTTCAAGATCAAATATAAACTCTGTGTATTTAAAGCGCATCACAAACTGACCCCAAACCAAGGGGTAGCCTAAGGCAGCTAAGTGGTACAGTGGATTACTGGACTTGGAATCAGGAAGACCCAAGTTCAAATCCAGCCTCAGACACTTACTAGCTTGTGACCCTGGGCAAGTCACTTAAACCTGCCAACTTCTGTTTACTTAACTGTAAAATGGAGATAATAAGAGGGCTTACGTGAGGATCAAATGAGATAACATATCTGTGGAGTGCTTTAGCACAATGCCTGGTACACAGTAGGTGCTTGATAGATGCGTGTTTCCTTTTCTTCCTTCCTTTCAAACATGTTTCTGTATGTTACTCCCCTTTACATACTTGATGGTATAGATCTTGCTGATCCTCATGTGTGTCACTTAAGCTCCTTTCTCCTTGTCTTTGTATAGGCTGTCCCTCATGATTAAGATGAACTCCCTTCTCTCCTCTGCCTTTTAGAATCCCTGGTTTCCTTCAGGGGTCAGCTCAGGCATCACTTTCTCTCTCACTCTCGCTATCTCATTTATTTTTAGGCAGTTGGGGGCAAGTGACTTGGCCAGGGTCACACAGCTAGTAAGTGTCAAGTGTTTGGCCTGATGTCAAATTTGAACTCAGGTCCTTCTGAATTGAGGGCTGGTGCTCTATCCACTGCGCCACCTAGCTGCCCCTCAGGCATCACTTTCTACGTGGGTCTTTTCCCAGTCCTCCCTCTGCTGCTAGTACCTTCCATCAAAATTACCTTGGATCTGTTTTGTTTATATTGGATATGCACCTGCATATGTATTGGTTGTCTCCCCTGTTAGAATGTAAGCATTTTGAAGCTAGGGACAATTTTACTTTTGTCTTTCTGTCTTCAGTGCCTAACAACATGCCTAATACAAAATAGGTGCTTAATATGTGCTTGTGGATTGATTGATTGATTGCTATCAACTGCTGCTATGAATATTTTGGTATTTATTGAATTTTTTTTTCTGTTGGACTGACATTTATTTCCTGCTAGAACTGCAAGAGAAAAGTCGACAAGCTAACAAGCATTTATTAAGCACTAAACTAACTATGTGCCAGGGGTTATATTATTAACCCCGGGGGATACAAAGAAAGGCAAAAGACAGTCCCTACTCTCAAGGAACTAATAGTTTAGTGGGGGATGCAACATGCAAACAGCTATGTGCAAGTGAGATATGGACAAGATAATCTCAGGACAGGCACCAACATTATGGGGTGTCAGTAAAGACTTCTTGCAGAAGGTAGGGTTTTAGCTGAGATTTTAAGGAAGTCGGGAGGTAGAGACAGGGAGGTAGAGCATTCAACCAGTGAAAATGTATAGTCAGGAGATGGAGTATCTTGGTTGAGAAAGAGCAAGGAGATTGGTGTCACTGGATGGTAGAGTACACGGAAGGGAACAGAGTAAGAAAACTGGAAGGTAGGAAGGGGTCTGGTTCTAAAGGGCTTTTATAAGCCAAACAGTATTTTATATTTGATCCTGGAGGTTATAAGAAGCCACTGGAGTTGCTTGAATAGGGGGTGACAATGTCATATGTGGACTTAAGGAAGATAACTTTGATAGGTAAGTGGAGGATAGACTGTAGTGGGGAGATACTTCAGACAGGTGGACCAACCAGGAGATGATTGCAGTAGTCCGGATATGAAGTTGTTGATGGCCTGTACCAGGGTGGTGGCAGTGTCAGAGGAAAGAAGGGGGCATAGTATTTTAGGGGAAAAATATAACATTGCAGTTTTCTCATGGATTTCCTGTTCGTATCACATGGAACCACGAGGGTTCCATGGAACACATGAGAAATACTGATCTATAGAATTCATGTGATAATCAGTAATGGCCTGCTTTATCCCTTATACTGTCATCTTTAAATTTTTTTTAAAAACTCTTGTAATTTTCACTTGATTGACCTTTTCTCCTCAAGTTATTGAGTTTCCTTTAGGGCAGGGGCTGTGTCTTATGCTTCTTTGTGGGGCCCACTGTCTTTTGAATATATTAATGTTGTTAGTTCCTTGAATGGCAAAGGAATCAATGGGGACACTCAACACACCCCAAGTGTATCTAGTATGATCACTGTCTATATCTCCTATTTGCAGACCCAGTGATTTGTTGTGAACGAGGTCAATATGAGAAAATAACCTTTGTACAAGTCTGATTTTCATGATGCTGTTTTCATGCATTATTCGCTGTATGCCCCCTAGAGGTGGGATTATAGATGAAGAAAAAATAACTTTATTTTCATGATTTAATTTGGTATTTTGCTCTTCTCATGATGCCGGAGTTGGAAAATGTGAAGCAGAAAGTTTTAAGGAGTTTTTTTGTTCTGATGAGAGAAGAAGGGCATTATGAGAGACAGCACGGTGTGGATTGGAAGACAGCAGACGTAGATAGAGGTCCCAGCTCTGACTGTGCCACCAAATAATAGCATGGCTTAAGGCAAATTACTTAAGCTTCCTAGGCCTTAGTTTCTTTTATTTTGTGTGTTATGGATGCTTTAAAAAATTTCTTCCATTTCTCAGTAATTTCCACCAATCTAGTAGTATCCTTTCTTGTAATAAAGAAATACCGGGGGGGGAGGGAGGTGGTACAGTGGATAGAGCACCGGCCCTGGATTCAGGAGGACCTGAGTTCAAATGTGACCTCAGACACTTACTAGCTGTGTGACCCTAGTCAAGTCACTTCACCCCAATTGCCTAGCAAAAAGCAAAAAAAAAAAAGGAAAAGATAAAGAAAAAAGAAAGAAAAACAGTAAACAAAACAAATGGATACATTCACAATGTCTGATAGTGTATGCCTCATTGTGAACCTGTGGCCCACCACCTCTTTACCAAGAAGATAGGGATATATTTCGTCATCAATAGTCTAGGGCTCAGTTTCTTCATTTATAGAACAAGAGTTTTATCTGTGTCTGTGGTCCCCTCCTATTCTGACATGCTATGATTCTATGAAATGAGGATTGATAAGGATGGAAGTTTTTCTGTTCTAAAGTGACAGAGAAGTTGAGGGACAATCACTCAAAGATTTCCTGCACTTTACATTAGGATCACTTTCTATACCTCCCATTTGGGAACATTATGGTTTATTGGATTTGTAAGGGAGTAGAAAGGGCCCTAAACCTAGGAGTCAAGAAACCAGAGTTCTAAACATGGTATTGCCCCCAACAAGGGACGTAATCTTGGATACAACATTTAATTTTTCTGTGGGTTTGCTTCTTCAACTGTAAACATAAATATAATACCTTATAGGGTTATTATAAGTATAAAATTTGATGATATGAAAGTGCTTTGAAATATGTAAAAATGGATAAAAGTGTATAGGTTTTTAAAAAGGTTTTTTTTATGCTTTCAGTTTTTTATACTACCTCCCAGAAAACTCTCCCTACCATTCTAAGTCCTCCATTGCTTAAATAAGTAAATGAATAACCAAACCCGACCAATATAACAACTTATCTGACATATGCAACATTTCAATTCTGTAGTCCTTCACATCTGTACCAAGAGAAAATAAATGTGTTTAATCATGTTTTCTCAGAATGCAAATCAAAACAAGTCTGAGGTACCACATCACACCTATCAGATTGGCCAACATGACAAAACAGGAAAATGATAAATGTTGGAGAGGTTGTGGGAAAATTGGAATGCTAATACATCGTTGGTGGAGTTGTGAAATGATCCAACCATTTTGGAGAACAATTTGGAACTATGCCCAAGGGGCTACAAAAATGTGCATACCCTTTGATCCAGCAATAGCACTTCTAGGGCTATATCCCAAAAAGATCAAACAAGTGGGAAAAGGACCCACATGTGCAAAAATATTCATAGCAGCTCTTTTTGTGGTGGCAAAGAATTGGAAATTGAGAGGATGCCCATCAATTGGGGAATGGCTGGGCAAGTTGTGGTATATGAATGTAATGGAATACTATTGTTCTATGAGAAATGATGAACAGGCTGACTTCAGAAAAACCTGGGAAGACCTATATGGTCTGATGCTGAGTGAAGTGAGCAGAACCCAGAGGACTTTGTATACAATAGCAGCCACATTATACAATGACTAAGAATGTTAAACTGAACCCTTCTCAGCATTACAAGGATCTAAGACATCTCCAGAGGCCTCGGGATGGAAAATGCTGTCCACATCCAAAGAAAGAACTATGGAAGTCGAATCGCTCTCACTTAATTTTACCTTAAGTTGAATTTTGTTTCATCTTTCTGATGGTTCCTCCTATTGGTTTCAATTTTTACTTACAACTTCACTAATGTGAAAATATGTTTAATGGGTATGTAAATGTAAAGCCTATGTCAGATTGTGCACCATCTTGGGTGGGGGGAGAAAAAGGGAGAAAAAAATTTTCAACTCAAAAGCATATGGAAAAAAAAATTTTTTTTAATTAAATTAAATTAAATTAAAAATAAAATAAAATAAAATTTAAAAAAATCATGTTTTCTCAGGCTAAGATTGATAACTGCAACTACTTTTCAGAGTTTAACCTGCTTTTAAAAGTGTTGCTTTGATTTACATGATTGTAGTTGTATATGTTGCTGTCTTGGTTCTGCCTACTTCATTCTGGATCAGTTCACATAAATCTTCCTGTACATCTCTGAATTACTCATATTCATTGCTTCTTATGATGCAGTAGTATTCCATTATAACTCAATTTGTTCAGTCTTTTCCCCTCAGCTGAGAGGGGACCCACTTTGTTTCTACTTATTTTCATTTATTTTTTTTCACCACCACTAATTTCCTTCAGTGAGGTGCTGTCTGTGGAATCAATGGCATATCTCTACAAAGCTCTGAGCTTCCTTCAGGATCTCTTTGAGTCAATGGGGATCCCAGAAGACCAGAGGCTAGAGAGGACAGAAGGGGTGAAAGTGAGTATAGCTTTGACCGTGCTGATGTCATTCATGGTCCATAAACTTGTTTTATTTTAATATTTTGATAACTGTATTTCAGTATAATTGGTATCTTTTGTAATCTTGTATATTTTTATGTATTTAAAAACATGATTCTGAGGAGTCCATAGGTATAACCAAACTGTCAGAGGGGTCCATGATACAAAAACAGTTGAGAATCTGCTCTTGAGGGAGATACTAGCTGAGACAAAGAATGTATTGAAAGGTATGTTAGGCAGTGGTGAATTTCAGTTCAGCCAGCATTTCTTAAGCACCTACTATGTGCCAGGCACCAGCTATGCAGTGGAGATAGAAATACAAAAATGAAACAGCCCTTGCCTTCAAGGAGTTAATATTCTACTGGAGAAACAATTTGTACCCAGATAAATGAAGAATAAATATAAGGTAATTCCAGAAGAGTGTGGGGAGACTATTGCCCATCAAATAGCATCTAGTATTAAACTTTGGAACTGAGGAGTTTGGGAGAATATTTCCTCACTTGAAATTAGCTGGGGATGGCAGGCAGCTAGGGGACACAGTGGATAGAGCACTGGCCTTGGAGTCATGAGGACCCGAGTTCAAATTCAGCCTCAGACACTTACTAGCTGTATGACTCTGGGCAAGTCACTTAACCCCAATTCCCCCCCTCAAAAAAAGAAATTGGCTATAGGTTGTCAAATCAAGATGCTTTTCCTGAGAATCCCTCTTGAAAGCACTGGGTTTTTATGTTCCCAAGAATCTGAAGAGGTTGGATTGATGATTTTTCCTTTCTCATGCCATAGAGCCTTTTGGACGTGATAATTGCAGAGGAAGAGAATAAGAAGATGAGGCTTCTGGAAAGCATAGCATTACATCGAAAACAACTAGACAGTCTGTGCTTTGAATTAAATGTGGAACATTTTCAAGTAAGTTCTGAACTACTTGGAATATTTTCCCAATTCTCTTCAGCCTCACAGTCCTCAGATTCCCTTTTAATGTAATAAGGTTCATTGTGGGGGGGGAGGCGGTGTTTGAGCACCACCTATGTGGTTTTCTTCCTATACAGGAGGAAGATGGCATCGCCATGCTGCAGCTGGAGAAGGACTTATGCATCCAGCTGGAAGTCAGATTAAAGCAGAAGGAGGATAGGAAGCGTGAGCTGAAAAGGCTTCAAGAACAAGACCAGGCCTTCTGCGAGCTGCTCCACACCACCCCCTACAGCATGGGCAGGGACTCGGTGCCCAGCTTGGAGGAGCTGGACCAGTTCAGATGCTACTTGGCAAGCCTGGCTGAAACAAAGGTATGTGGCAGAGACACCTGGCCCTTCAGGCATCTATGTTTTAGTCAGCGGGAGATCCTTCCCTGACACAGATCACAACCTCCCTGTTGATCTGTGGTGGTTGGTAATGATAGCTGACTTTATTCTCAAAACAACCCTTTAAGATATTCTCATCACCCCCATTTTGCAGATGAAGAAACTGAGGCTTAAAGGATTAAGTAACTTGCCTTTGGTCACACAGGAAGCATCAAAGGCGAACCTTTCCAGTGCTCTTTCTACCATACCACACTGTCTTTCTTAAAGAGTTGCTGTGGTTGAAAAGTTCATCACATCACCTTGTGGCCATCCTACTGGTGATAAACCCCGCCCAGCTCAGCTAGCTCCTTTGAGGTAGATGTGAATGTAGTTCCTTGCCAGGTCCACATTTGAGGCCTTTTGGCTTGTGAGGACCTGCCAGGGCTTGCACCCTGCCGCCAGAGCTTTCAGGGACCCAGGGTTACCTCTGTGTCAGGCTGAGGCATTAGAGTTGAAGCTGAGTACACATAGGCACCTTTTCTGAAGGTCACTTTGAGTCACTCTGAGGGGGCACACATGATTTCTATGCTCTTCTAGGCATGCAGACAGGAGGAATTTGTCAGCGCAAAGAAGCAGATCCTACTCCTTGTGGAAGAGTTAGATTATACCCCAGACACAAGTGTTGAAAAGGATGTTTTATGTGAAGATGAAGATATCTCTGATCTGTCATTGGAAAAACTTGCATCTCTGCATGACCTGCTTCATCAGGTATGCAGACCCTGGCCCAAGGTCCTGTTTGGAGGTCTGATCTGTTGCTGAGGGAGTGCTGGGATCAGGACCTTGAGTTTGTCCTGTTCTGTGAGTTGGGACGCTCATCCAAAGCCATAAGAGTGCCTCGGTAGTCTGTTTTGTTGTGTTTTTTTTTTTTTGGCTGGGCAGTGGGGTTAAGTGACTTGCCCAGGGTCACGTGGCTAGTAAGTGTCAAGTGTCCAAGGCCAGATTTGAACTCTGGTCCTTCTCACTCTGGGGCCAGTGTTCTATCCACTGCACCACCTAGCTGCACCCCTCAGTATTCTTTAATAACATGTCCACTCTGTTTATCACCTATGTAATAGGGAGAGGAAATTTTATTTGCAAGTACAGAGTGCCAAGAAATGAGGAGGAAAAATGGGAGAGAGCTAAAAATCTCTAGTTTTGAATTCAGGTTTATAAAAAAACATGTCTAAATGAATGAAAGGCATTTAACTTGTAAGATGATAGGTAGATAATTGTGGGGAGGGGTGGGGGATGGTGTTTGAGCAGCACTGATGTGATTTTCCTCCTGTAGAAGAGGAAGAGGGCATCATTATCCTGCTAAAGTTAGGAGTTTACATATTACTTTCAGCTCCTCCATTAGATTGTAAGCTTCTTGTGAGCAGGGGCTATCTTTTGCCTCTTTGTATTCCCAGTGCTTGGTGCGGTGTCTGGCACATAATAGGGTGTTTTATAAATGTTTATTGATTCATCCCCTTCATCAGTCTAGTGGTTGGTGAGAATTTCTGGTCTGGGGTGCTGAGGCTCTGTACTGTGGCATTTCCCTGAAATAATGATTTCTGGATGTTCCATAGTCCATATGCTGAAAAAATTGTAAATACAAATATGACCCCCTGATTTAATGCAAAGATTCATTTGCTCTCCCTCTCCCTACAAGCTGGTGTGTTTCAGGCATCTTCTTTGGGAAGGTGAATGGCCTAGTGTGAAGTAGCCCTTTTCTCTAATTTTTTTCTTTTCTTTTCTTTCTTTCTGCCCATCTTTCTGTCTTTTCCCTTCCTTCCTTCCTTCCTTCCATCCTTCCATCCTTTTTTCCTTCCTTCCTTTCCAGTTAGAGGTGCTGAGAGCTGAGAATGAGATTGTGTGTGAAGAACTACACTCTCAAATCCAAAAGCTCTGGGACAAGTTACAAGTTCCTTATGAGGAGAGAGAAGCCCTGGCTACATTCATGACTGGGTCAATACCCAAGAGGAGAAAAGCGGTAAGGAAACACAGTAAGCATTTAAAAGCAGTGGCTGAGAAGACTCGTGGCTACTTTTTTGAACTTGCTTTCTCCTGCCCCTCTTGCCTCACCTTCCTGGTTTCCTTTGAAATTTGATACATGTGTTACCTTCTACCCAAAGTCTTTCCTGATTTCATCCAGCTACTGGTATTTCTCCCCATCCTCATTACTTTCTGGTTTTTTGGTATATGATTGTTTATGTATATGCCATTTCCACTGATAGAATATAAGCTTCTTGAGAGCAGGTAGTAACTGGCACAAAATAGGTGCTTGATAAATGCTTGTATTTTGATAGATTGACTGGGTCAGTAGTTAGAGTCTGTAATGATTGTTTTTTATAAAACATATTTTCTTTGAAAGCTATTTTAAATAAGCCTTATTACTTAATTCCAGTTTGCAAGACTTCTTTTGGGGCAGGGAACCTCTCCTATGGTTTTGCTCTTAGAAATCATCATGGAACAAAGGTTTGAGTAGTTAGAGTTTTGAAAAACGGCCAAATATTCCATTACTGTGTGCCCTGCCCAGGTGGTCAATAAGCTGATACCCACAAAACTCATCCTATAGGAAAGAACATTCTTTCTTAGTGCCCTAAACTAAGGCCTATGTGTGGCCCATTAAAAGCAGAAAAGAAATGTAGCAGAGCTCAAGTGAATATTCAGTATATGATTATGATGGAATACTACTGTGCTATAACTAATGATGAGCTTAATGCTCTTGGAAAAATATGGAAAGACTTGCATGAAATAATGAGTGAAATGAGCAGAACTAAGAGAACATTGTATACAGTAACAACAATATTGTTTTAAGGATGACTTTGAGCGAATAAATCGTTTTGACTGTTACGAATTGACTATAAAGGTTGTATGAAGAAAGATGCTATCTGCATCCAGAGATAGAACCTATAAATAGAAGTAGCTATAGAATAATTTTACATGTATACATATATATGATATATGTAATATACATTACACATATAATTTTACATATATACATATCCATGTATATATATATATATATATATTTTTTTTTTTGTATCTAATGGTAGCCATCTCTGAGTCAGGAGGGAGGGAAGAAAAAAAGGGAAAAAAAGAAATTTACATGATTTTATTATATATTTAAAAGGAATAGTAAGTTGTACATCATAGATTTGCAGTTTCATGTGTGATCATCTTTTTTATTATACTGTGCTATAGAAATACTTGTTTTATTCCATAAATTGTAAATAAATAAATAAATAAATAAATAAATTTAAACAAAAGAACAGCAAGCTCTTTTTGACACTTCCTTCCCCTTTTGGCAGCTTCAGTCAGAAGCAGATCGGCTGGAAGAGCTGAAGATTCAGAACCTGAAAAAAGTGATTGAAGCTGTCAGAGAGGAGCTGACTCTATATTGGGAAAAGTGTTTCTACAGCCAGGAGCAGAGAGAAATCTTTGCCCCCTACTATGATGGTTGGTGTGGGAGATGTTGACACAGCCTTGTAGATGCACCTGTTGGCTTACTCTTTTGTGTTACTGTATTTTCACTTATTTGTCTAACAACAAGTATATACATTTATAAGAGGACATAAGACACAGCCTGCCTTTTCTAGCTCATGGGATCACAGACTTAGAGTTGGAAGGGACTTTGAAGATAAGCTAGTCTGGCCTCCTTATTTTATAGATGAGGAAAAATGAGGTTCAGGTTAAGTGATAGGCTGCTTGGTATGAGGCAGTAATGTGATGTGGCAACCCAAAAAAGCTAACACAATTTGAGATTGACCCGAGAGACCCTTGAAGGAAGTGATATATTTTGGGGTGCCTGGACCTGTGGTTTCACTGGTCACTTTCTCAGCTTCCAATGAGGAAATGCTCACTACCTAGGTAGATTGATGCCTACTCATAATTTATAATATTAGATGCCCAGAGTACTGGCAAATTGAATGACTTGTACAGGGTCCCAAAGCCAGGATTTGTCCAGAGATGGGATTTGTAAGCAGGTCTTTTTGACATCAGCTCACTATATACAATACCACGCTGCCTCTCAAATCAGTCTGTAATATTGGGATTAGCTCTGGGTGCCACATTTTACAAAGTGGACCATGCCTAGATGAGGACAATTAGGACTGTAAAGGGATTGGGGATAACACTGTAGCAATGATTATTTTGTTTATTTCTTTATTTTTAATTTCTTTTGATTTATCAACAATCACTTCCATATGCTTTTGAGTTTAAAATTTTTCTCTCCCCACCACCCTCCCCAAGACGGTGCACAATCTGATATAGGCTATACATATACATTCCTATTAAACATTTTCACATTAGTGATGTTGTAAGTAAGAATTAGAACTTATAGTAGGAATCATCAGAAAGAGGAAACAAAACTCAACAGAAAAAAAAATAGCAAATAGTATGCTTTGATCTGCATTCAACTTCATAGTTCTTTCTTTGGATGGGGATAGCATTTTCCATCAGGAGACCTTTGGAGATGTCTTACATTCTTGTGTTTCTGGGAAAGGTTAAGTTTATCAGTATTACTCATTGCACAATGTGGCTGTTTTTGTGTACGGTGTTCTCTGGGTTCCTTATCACTCACTTCTGACTCCCTTCCCTCTAATTGTGGCTTCCTGGGGGACTGGATTTCAAAGCATCTCAGCCTCCTCCCACAAAGGGCATTTCATTGTTTACCAGCCTAGGTTTCTGCCGTAAGTGACTTTTTGTCAGCACTGGCCCTAGCTGGATGTTGTGCTCTTTCTCACAGGCTTATGGTAGAGTGCTGCATTGCTCTCTACGAGTACAGTGTCCTGTCCTGGTGACCTGTCCCATTCCCTCTGTTCTTCAGTTCTCTGGCCTGCCACCAGCAGTTCAGAACTTTGCAACACTGGTGCTGGGGTGGATTTTGATGTAAGCGTCTGTCATGTTCTTGGGTTTGCTAGTGCAGGTAGCATGAGAGCTAGGGATGGGATGCTGAGTGAGCTCAGGGTCAATGGGTGTCAGTTCCTGAGTTTGGGAAGATTTTTTTTTTACCTTTTTTTTTTTGGATTCTGAGTATCTAAGACGATGGAAACAGTGGAAGTTGTTTATCTTTGGTACACAGTTTCCGTTTTGGCGTTTAAGAGGTCATGGGGATTGGAGAAAATGTTTAGTCTACCATCTTGTTGCTCACATGACTCAGAAGTTCCATTAGCTATTATTCTTATTAATAGTAGTCTGGTGAGAGGATAGTTGGGAAGTGGTGAATTTAGGGGAAGGTCTACGAGGTTACAGTAATTGTAAGGAATTAGTTAGAGTTTAAGAGGTTAAGAGGAGCTAGCCTAGGATGGTGGCAGTAAAAATGGAAAGGAAGTGATGTCTACAAGAGACGTTTCAGAGGAAGAATTAGTAGGATTTGACAACTAACTGAGAAGTAGGAGGTAAAAATGTCTTTGAGGTTTTGAGCCCAGGTGATGTCATTGGTAGAAATAGAAAAAAAATGCAAGTAGGGGAGGTTTGTTTCCAGTAGGAAAGAAATTCCATTCTGAATGTACTAAATCAGTGATGATGGCAGGACATGGAAGTGGAGATGTCCTAGTAGGCAATTGTAGATGTGAGATTAGAACTTGAGTTGGTAGTATGCAAGTTGCTTGAGGGAAGGGACTTTTTCATCCCCAGTTCCTAGCATAGTTCCTTGCATATAGTTGGTACTTAATAAATGTTTGAGTGAAATTAAATGTCAATTTGAGAGTCATCCAGATAGGTTGTAATTCAGGCTGACTGGATTAGCTTTCCAAGGGGAAATTATAGATATGATATTACTATATGCCTGTCTGTTCAGGGAATATGTCATGTATACTGACAACTGTGAGAAGGGAAATAATAATAATAGCTAACATTTACATAAAGCTTTAAGGTTTGCAAATCCCTTTCTGAATATTATTTCATACAACCCTGTGAGGCAGGTTCTATTATTATCCCCATTTTATAGATGAGGAAATGGGCTGAGAGAGCTTAAATGACTTGCTTAGGGATACATAGCTAGTAAATCTTGGGGTTAGAATTTGAATTCAGGTCTTTCTGAACTCCAGGTTTGGTGCTCCGTCCACTATGAGGGGGCAAAAGGAGAAATCTGAAGTGATCTAGGAAGCTAGGAATATTGAATCTAGGAATCTAGAAAGAGGAGAAAATCACATTGTTGGCTGGGGAATCGGAGAAGGCATCATAAAGGACGTGGCACCAGAACTAAACCTTGACTGAAAGGAAGCATTTCAGTAGATGGACGTGAGGAAGAATTCTGGGAGACAGCTTGTACAGATGTACAGAGGCAGGCGAGTTCAGGATAGGACTGGGGAACATCTGGCAATCTAGCTTATCTGGACTGTGAGATTCACAAAGGGAAATAATATGAAATGAGGCTACAGCAGTGAGTTGGAGCCAAAATGGAGAGCCCCTTAAATTCTAGGCTAACGAGTTTATGTTTTGTCTTCTAGACAATAGAGAACCATTGGAGGTTTGGAGGCTTTGGACTGATATAATCAGACCCAGCATTAAGAAGATTATTGTGGCAGCTGTCTGAAGGATAGATTGGGAAAGGGGATAGATGTCATGGAGCCTGTGTGTGGAATCTGGTACTCAGTAAAGTTGTATGCAGTTGACTGGAAAAACACCGAGGGCTGACTTCCTCATTAATGTTCATGGTTACATAAATACAATGTGACTTTAAAGTCATTAGTGGCAATTTACTCACTGGGCTAAAGATGGTGATGTTACTCTATGAAAATCTGTGTGCCTCTTGCATGTTTCACTGCCTTTTTCTCATATCTTTCTGTTTCTGTGCTTTTCTGTCTTTTTGTCCTTTAAGAAGCCACATGGCAGAAAATCAATGAACAGTTAAGATGTATTTAAGTGTAGTCTTAAAATGAACAAAAATCTAAATTTTATATTATAGAAAATGAGTAGCATCTCTTTAGAGACCTTAAGGGATTACTAGAGGTAAATGTATATGAAAAATAAGAATGTATTCTTTCTCATTAGACTTGCATTAAAAGCTGAATAAAAAGGTGGAGGGGATGCAGGGAAAATGGGGTCATGATTTTTTAGGGGCTTTGAAATGTTAGTGGAGGCAAATGTGGGCTTTTTCTCCCCCTCTTCTGTTGGACTCTGATTGTTACACAGAAGACTACTCAGAGACTTTGCTCCAACTCCACGATGCTGAGGTGGTGCAGTTGAAACGTTACTATGAGGTGCACAGAGAGCTCTTTGAAGGCATCGAGAAGTGGGAAGAAAACTGGAAGCTCTTCTTGGAGTTTGAGGTACTGTTCTGGTATTGTCAGAACAAGAGGAAGGCAAGGGGAAAGGCAGCCCAAAAAATGGGGTTGAAGAATGGATCTGAGCTTTCACTGGGATACCTAGATGAAGAAACTCCCCCTAACAGAGCAGGTCGATGCCTTCTCTGCAACCTAGAGTCTTAGAAAGTTAGGCATTGAGAGGTTAATTGTCCAGGATCACACAGCCAGTATGTGACAGGCAGCTCTCTGTCTCTGTTGGCAGCTTTCTATCCACTATGCCAAGTATGTCACGTTGCCTTGCGTATAGTTGCGTGACTTTGGCAATTCAAGATTTCTGAAACTTGTGAGTTGTCCAAGGATTTGCTGATAGGTACTTCTGTCAATCCTGTTGACATGTAGAAATGTAGAAATGCTAGTTTATTATAGTAATGTACCAATACATTCAGCTATGTTCTTGTTATTACTATTATCATGCCCAGAGCATAGACCCACAGTATACAAAAACCAGCGGGCCCTGAGCAGCAGTTTCAGCAACCTTAGAAAAGTCTTAGTTACATAGGTGGAGCACTGTGGAATTTTACAAAGGGTTTAGAAACAAAGATTTGCACATCAAAAACCAGCTAGCAGAAGGGGAAGATTTGTATCAGGTTAGATAGTAAACTGGCCAGTAAGTACTGAGGAATATAGCTAGGCTTTTACACGACGCCCTTAAGCAGATAGAAGTAATAAAGCTTGAGCTGGAAGTTCACTTACTGCTAACAAGTTAATGACTGGAGCTCCAGTTAGATACCTTAGCTGGATTTTGTGGATCCTAGCTCGTTTTGCGTCTTACTGTCTTAAGCACATGGGGGTAACAGCCAGACAGATTTTCTTATGGCACTTGACTGCCACCTAAGTCTCCTAATTTTCACAAACTGCTTCTCCCCGCTCCCAGTCTCATAAAACTGACTGAGTATCTGCTTTAGTGTGGGGTCCGTTTGGATTCCTTTTCAGGCAATATAGCTTTAGTGCAGGGAGATCATCTCCATCTTTCCTACTTTGTATCTCTTGTTGGGATTTGAAAATCAGAGACGGTCAGGCAATCAGCAAGCATTTATGAAGCATTTGCTATGTGCCAAACACTGTGCTAAGCTCTGGGAATACAAAGAAAGTCAAACCCCTGCCACCTCCAGAAATGTCATGATTATCCCTGCTGTCAGGGAGCTTATACTTCAATGGGAGAACCATATAAATAGTTAGCTATATACAGACTGAATGGGAAGTAACCTTGGTAGGGAAGTCACTAACAGTAGAGCGAACCAAGGAAGACCTCCTTCGGAAGGTGACATTTGAACTGGATGTTGAGGGAAGCCAGGGAGTCTAAGGGGTGAGGGAGGGGGAGCATTCCAGGACTGGGAAATCAATTCAGCAGCTCTGGGGTTGACATAATTTAAGCAAAGTAATCAGAAAAGGGGGATCATCATCATTACCTCTATCAGTCTTCCAGTTCGTCAGCCTGCCAGACTTTGAAATAGCTTTTCAATTTTGTTCATTCTTTTTTTTTTTTTTTGTGAGGCAGTTGGGGTGAAGTGACTCGCTTAGAGTCACACAGCCAGTGAGTGTTATGTGTCCGAGGCCGGATTTGAACTCGAGTCCTCTTGACTCCTACAGCCAGTGCTGTATCCACTGCGCCATCTAGCCCTCGGTTTATTCTTTTTTAAATACTAGACTTCATTTTTATCATATCTGAACCTTAGAATGGGGAGGAAACATCAGACTTCCTTCCTAGCTCCTTCTAAGTAGAGCTCTTTGAGATTAAGGGACTTCCAGGGAACTAACTAGTCATGCTAAGACTGCCGGGTTGAATACTGCCTCTAATTGAAGCATAATTGTCTCCACAGAGAAGAGCTTCAGATCCAAGTCGTTTTATTAACCGCGGTGGAAACCTCCTGAAGGAGGAAAAGCAAAGAGCCAGGCTCCAAAAAACTTTCCTTAAGGTAGTGTCATTTCTTTGGCTGGTCGGCCCCTAATTCCAGAAAATCATACGCTTGAAGGTTTTGCTCTATGACTAATGTCTTCTATGTGCTAATCTAGTAATGCTGATGGACATTTGGAGCCTGTGATGTAATTTCTCCGTTTCGCTCGGGGACAAGCTTTCATAGATTTGTGAGAGCATTGGGCTTACTCTTTCTTATCTAATTTACATAAATGAATCCTATCAAGGCTTCTTGTCATCAGTTGGACTTCAGGGCAGTATCTCAAAGTCTAATGTAAGAGACCATCTGCAGACTATTATGTGCACATGAGATCTGTCTAGGATAATTTGCAGGTAATTGCAGAGGGAAGATATGAGCATTAAGGAAGACCAGCCTTTTTGCAAAATATGGAATTTTAGCTAAGACTTGAAGGAAGCCAGCAAAGCCAGGAGGTAGAGATGGGGAGGGGAGAACATTCCAGGAATAGGGCAAGACCAGTGAAAATACATAGTTGCAAGATGGAATGTCTGGTGTGAGGAGCAGCAAGTGTGGCTGGATCACAGAGTGTGTGGGGAAGGAAGTAAGGCGCAAAAAGATTGGAAAGGTAGGAAGGGGCCAGGTTATCAAAGCCAAACAGGATTTTTTATTTTATCATGGAGGTAATAGAGTTGGTTAAATAGTGGAGAGTGACATAGTCAGATGTAGATGGACTATAGTGGAGAGGGATTTGGGGCTGGGATGTGTAATGAGTACAGAGGCCCCCGCCAATGAATTTTTGTAGTGGTGATATTTTCCCCTCCAAAATATTAATTATGAAATTATGCATGTGTGAAAAATAGTCCCCCTTTTGGGAGGAAGTACAGGGTTTTCAGCTCCAAAAGTCACTCTTTTTTTTTTTAAATCTATGTCTCCAAGATCCTTAGAACTAGCATATGTATCTCTAGCCACATTTTAAGTCTCAGTTTCATAAGATTAAGAAATAATGGGTGCACCTTGGGCAGCCTAAACAGGAACTTCTTAGAAAAAATGAAGGGTTATGGGTTTTCCTTCCTTCTCAGTGTGCTGTGAATGAACCAGGTCTTTAAGTTTTTTTAGCGTCTGAACATTCCAGTCACTGACAGGCACATCCTTTGCTATGAATTAAATGTTCCTATTAGAGATACCACAGGGAAGCTCCTGAACAGATGTGTTCATTTGAAGAGATCTCTGGGATTTTCATTGTGACAAATGAGTTGGGGACAGTAATCTCCTTTTTTTTTTTTTTGGCCCCAGCTGGAAGAGGAGTTGAAAGCACAAATTGAACTGTGGGAACAAGAATATTCAAAGGACTTTGTGGTGAATGGGCAGAAATTCATGGAGTATGTGATGGAGCAGTGGCAGATGCATCGTTTGGAGAAAGAGAAAGCAAAGCAGGAGAGAGTAAGTCTGAATAAAGAAAGGGAAAGGAGAAAAACAGTAAATTTTTAAAATTTGTTTTTAAATAAATAATGAAGTGTATTATAATATTTCTGCTTGGGACTGTGGGTGATGAGAAACCAGCCCAGGTCTGCACCTTGCCTTCAGTTGTTTCTTTTTGTCCTAGGGACATAACATCAGATTTTTCTTTTTACAATAAATTTTTATTGATATATTTTGTTTTTCTATCACCTTCATTCTCTGATATATTCATCCCTGCCCCCAAACTCCTCCCCAAGACCTTCTGTAACAAAGAATAAATGTGAGGGGGAAAAAACAGTTCAACCAAACTAACCCACATAGTGAAAACATCTGATATTATATATGCAGTATTACAAACCATCCTACCTCACCTTTGCAAAGAAGTGGAGAAAGGTTCTCTTTCATAGCTCTCTTTGAGGCCAGCCTTGGTTGTGACATTCAGTTTTGATTGCTTTGTTGTTCCATTTACATTGTTGAAGTTATTGTGTACATTGGTTTCCTCCTTGTGCTAACATCCCTTTGCATCAGTTCATATACATCTTTTATGCTTTTCTGTATTCATGATATTTATCATTTCTCACAAAACTGTAATATTTCGTTGAATCAGTGTAACACAGTTTGTTTAGCCATTCCCTAATCAATAGGCATGTATGTTGTTTCTAGTTCTTTGCTACTGCAAAAAGTGCTGCTGTGAATATCGTGATAGCCAGATTTTTTTTTTAAATGAGCAGTGTTTGACACGTAAGCACTTTAAAATGCTTTATCTATCTATTAGCCTCATTTTCAGGTCTGCCTATCAATTCATCTCCCATTCCTGTCTCATATATCTAACCTTCCTTTTTTTTTATTGGGATTATCTGTTTTTTTTTTTCTGGTTCTCCTTCAGCATCTAAAGAAGAGCCAACAGATAGAAGTTGAAATGTTTTATGGCAGTACACCTAAAATTCCTAGCAAGAGGGAAAGCCTGGGATCCAAAATAACAGGCAAAGTTCTCAAGGTAACATGAGATTACAAAGGGTTTGGGGTGGATAGGGTTCTTGGCTTTTGGACTATAGACAAGAAAGATTCTTGTTTTTCTGAGTGGGGTCTGGATTGCTTTGGATTCTAGGTAATGATGAATAGGCACTTTGTAGCTTCCATTCAGCTGATTTCCACTTGAGATGCTCTATAAAAGAAGCCTAAATGAATATAAACGTGCTCATCATTAAATAGTTGTTCTGCCGCACTGATGTGCTGATCTTGATGTCTGGGGAGCAGATAAAAAAACAAATAAATTTTAACAGTGATGGATGTGATGGCAGCTGATTTCAGAAACTAATGAGTTGTTCTGGGGGAGATGGTGGCAGTAGCTAAGTTGTTGGGTTGGTGTTTTTTTTTTTTTTGTCTTTTTCCTCCTACTACAAGCTGCTGCTGTTGTGGTCCTTCCAACCCCACATGCTGAGTGGCATTAGGAGAAATTGTTATCCTTTGAGAATATTATTGGCACTCCTTATAATTACTAATGAATGGTATTTTAATTTGATTAGAAATAGACAAAAGTCTTTGCAGGCTCTTAATGTTTTTGCTAGTTAGTCTTTTCCAATTATGTTAATACTGAAATCCTCTGTTATTTCTTCCAGCTGGGTTCCAAGATAAATTTTGAAATGGCTTTTCTTTCATCGTTCTGTATTAGTTGAATAGACCACTGGTTTCCATGATTTCTGCTAAATGACCAAGACACTAGGAGTGCTGTTTTCTCTCCCAGACCTTTTGGTCTGTCTAGCTATCTCTCCACTTATATCTTTCTTTGCCTATGCATACAGACAGACATTCACCAGCTGACCTACCTCCTCTCTCTTCCCTTCCCTTAAAAAAAAAAAACTGGAAAAGCATGATATCATATATCCAGGGTGATTCTGGAGCAACCAAAACATTCCATTGCATCACTAGAATGTGATAGAGGCAGAATGCCAAGAGTTTAAAGTGCTGGATTTGGAACCAGGAAAGACCTGGTTTCCAGTTCCACCTCTGACACTTTTTAGCTGTGTGACCATGGGCAAGTCACTTAGTGTCTCTGAACCTCAGTTTCCTTATCTGTAAAATGAGCAGGTTGGACTAGATGATCTCAAAGGTCCTTTCCAGCTCTAAATTGATGATCTGGTGAGCCCATAGACTAGACCATTGGAGTTTTGAAAGCTTAGTTTAGGTCTGTTGTGAGCTATGCTTCATTTGCCCTGGTAAAGTTTTATGAGGTTCTCCTGCCTTGCTTTATGCAAGTTCCTTCACTTTATCTACTTCTGTATAAACAGATGGTTGGTTTAGGTAAATGACGACCATAAGTTGCCCTTTGGATTCACCCAAAATCCGTGTGACTGTAGACCAGAACACACTTCTATGGCCACCATGCCCCTATATATGCTGTCTTCCCCTCCTAGAATATATGCTTCTCAAGAGCAGGTGATTTCTTGCCTTTTCTATCCCTGGAGCTTAGCACAATGCCTCATACACTATAGTTGCTTAATGAATATTTGTGTATTCATTCATTTATTCATTCATTCATTCATTTAAATATTAACTCTTCTTGCTCAAGGCCAAACTCTTACTTTCACTTTTTCCTGTCTTCTGTAGAAACTATAGTTTGAGCTCAATCCCAGCAAAATTCTACAATGGGTTATTAAATGAGTGGTTTATGAGAAATTACCATGAATAGCATTGCCATCCACTCTGATCTGCCTTCCACCAATTGTTTGTATTTGTACGTTCACCTCTGTTCAATAACCAGGTCTCCCAAACAACCTCGCTTGAGAATTCCAATTCCCAAATCCAAGGATCTTGCCACGATGCAAAAGCAACTCATTATCCTTCAGACTGTAGTGCTGAGTCAGCTTTATGGGCCTAGGGCTTTCCTTTAGGAAATAAAGACATTCAGATTCTTCCAGTTCAATATGTCCCAACTAGACTTGTCATCTTGCCCCTACCAAATTCACCCTTTCTCCAGCTTCATGGTTTCTGTTTAAAACTACCACCATTTCTTCTCATCACCAGACTGGAAACATGAGCATCATCTTTAACTTGGACGACTCCTTCCCCCTCATCCTCTCTACCCATTCAGATAGCTTCCAATTCCTGTTAAGGCTCCTTCCACAGTGTCTCCTTCTTAGTTCAAGCCACCATCTTAGTTCAAGCCTTCATCAGCTCTTGTTGGACTCTACAGACTGTCTAATAACTGACATTTATGTGGCACTTTAAGGTTTATAAACCACTTCATTATTTCATTTGATAGTCTCAGCAAACCTGTGAGGCATGTTGTTTGGGAAAGGGAGGGATCCAGATGTGTGATTGTGTCAGGGTGGAAACTCCTGCCCACTAATGTAGATCAGCAGACTTAAGAGTCTTTGAGAGTTGCCTAGGACTCTTAGAGGTTAATCGACTTGCCACTGGTCAGACAGCTGGGACTTATTAGAGGAAGGACCTGAATATCTGTCTTCTCAATCCAAGTCTGGCCCTTTCTCTCTATTGGTATGATCATATCAATTTTTACAGATGAGGATACTGAGGCTCATGAAAGTTAATGACTTGTCCATGGTCACACAACTACTAAATACTAGAGGTTGAATTCAAATGTGGCTCTCTCCTGATTCCAAATCCAGCACTGTTTCTCCTAGCACACTGTGCTGCTTCCCCTATATCACTGGTCTCTGTCCTCTACATCTCTGTGTGATGGAAACTTTCTCATATGCCAGTGTCTAATTCATAGACCACCTCATCTGTGAAGATTTCCCTGATTTTAACTCTCCTTATCAAAAATCTAGAAATGATCTGTCCTTGCTAAGATCTTTCACACTACCTTTTACCTTTCTTATACACTTAGTATGTTGCAATTTGTATTACGAGTATTTATGTTCTTGTTTCACCTCCCCTGCTGAATTGTAAGCTGCTTTTGGGCAAGAACTGTGTCGTGTGCATCTTTGTACCCCTAGCAGGGTACCTCGCATGAAGTAGGCATTCATTATGTAAATGTTTGATGAATTTACTTGAGGTACAATTTCCTAATTTTCTAGGTAAGGGAACTGAGGCCAAGAGAAGGGAAAGCAATTTGCTTGAGACCCACACAGCTAGTTAGTGATAGAGTTAAGACTAACTCTCAGATCTTAATTTCTCATACTCTTCTTCCTACTATATTATACTGCCTCCCTATAGCATAAGCAAAGTTAAAAAGTTTAGGCTTTTAAAAAAAAAACAGTGGGGAGACATTTTTAAAAAAATTTACATTGTCTTGGTGTGCTTGAATAGTCAGGAGGACATAGGCCACATGTAAAATAGTGAGAGTAAGAACTATGGAATCTGAATGCAGATTGAAGCATACTATTTGCTATTTTTTTTTCTCTTCTGTTGAGTTTTGTTTCTTCTTCCTGGTGGTTCCTCCTGTTGGTTCTAATTTTTACTTTCCCTAATCTGAAAATATGTTTAATAAGAATGTGTGTATATATGTGTGTGTGTTGTGTGTGTGTGTGTGTGTGTGTGTTGTGTGTGTGTGTGTGTATAGCTTATATCAGATTGCACGCTGTTTTGGGAAGAGTGGTGGAGAGGAAGGGGGAGAAAAATTTTAAACTCAAAAGCATATGGAAGTGATTGTTGATAAATCAAAATAAATTAATTTAAAAAATAGTGAGAGTGAGTGGACAAAGAATCCTCCTCATGGAGACTTAGGAGGAAGGGCAGAAAAGAAGTTATTATTTTGTACTGAAATTCATTAAAATGTAAATCATTACCAGGCAAGCTTAGTTGTTTATTTTGATGTTGAATGTTGTTTCCAAAAAAAATTACTTTTTTAAAATTTAAAAAAAATGATGCAATTGAGGGCATAAAACAAAGCATGGCATAGATGTATTAGGAGAGTGTCAGGAAGGCTAAAGCCTAGAGTGATCCAAAGCTAGTTAAAAATGCAAAAAGTTTTTTCTCCATGAGAAAATTTTAATGGAAAAAGCAGAACGATTCAACTCCTGTTTTGTTTCTCTCTCCCCTGTAAGGGAACTGACCAGTGAAATGGAAAAGCACAAAAAAAGATATAGGTGTGTTTGTAGGGGAAAGAACACCTGAAGGAATGGTGGAAGTAGTCAAATAATGCTTTTTATTTCTCAAATTTCTGCCTTCCAGTAACTTCCATTTTAAATAACAGGAAGGAGAATAGAATGACAGCTACATATGAATATCTTTTATTAACATTTTCACCTCTTACTTCATTTGAAGCTCACAAGTTCCCTATGGCTGAAGAGGGGTAGCTACCATATTTTATGATGAGGAAGCTACGGGGAAATGAAGTGACTTTTCTCATGAGAGTCCTGCCCAGGTAGCGGTAGTCCTTACAGGCCTGACACTCAGTGCTGGGCTTCTGCCCCCACACCTGGCAGCTTTCCTCTTCAGACATTTTAGTCATGCTCACCTGTCTTTCATTCTTCTGCTTCCTTTGGCCAGTCATCCTGGAATATTGGTTCCCTGGGGCAAAAGACGCTGAATACCAGCCAACGGGAGCACAACAGGACCATTGACTTGGATGAGACTATTCTGAACAATGGATATTCTCAGCTATCCCCACTCCAGGGAAACTTCCAGATTCATTCTGTTGCCAGCACGTATTCTGAATTTGTGGTAATCCACCTTTTCTAATATCTATCTGCCCTGTGAGAACACACAGACAGGGCAGGATGGGTAGTCTCCTGATAACACACAGGGCCATCTCTGGGGTGGAAAAGCTGGGTGCAGGAGGGAAATTGGCAGTTTAACTTCTGAGTGGGAAAATGGAAAATGAATGCTTTATAATCGCATTGACCATGCTTGACTCTGAAGAAGAGATGAGAAAAGATACCTCCCTCCCTTCTTTGCAAAGGTGGGGCAACTCTGGGTGTAGAATATTGCATATACTGTCAGATTCAGTTGATTAGTTTTGTTTAACTGCTTTCTCCCCTCTTTTTCTTTATTTTAAAGGATGGTTCTTTTGATAGAGGAAGGGTGAAGAATATATTTAGAAATGAAGGTGATATAAAAACAGAAGGTATCAATAAAATTAAAAAGGAGAAAAAACTTGAACTTCAGAATTGGATCTTTCTGAGACAGGTTGGCTGTAGGAAGAGAACCTGCATCACTTTTCCAGTGGCCACCCTGTTCTCTTGGTGACCATCTCAGTCCTTTCTTTTGTGGAAGGAACTCACTTTCCTTCCAGCTTCTTATCTGTCAGATCTCAGGCTTGTGTGGCAGTCCTTGCACGTCCCTTCTTTCAGAGTGACCTAATAATATCTGCTGATTTCATTATCATCCGAGTAGAGCTTTATAAGAGCCAGTCCTCTCTGACTCACTGGGACAGCCTCCTAAATTTAGGAAAACCAACAACAAAAACCCTAGTTGTTTTTTGAGTATTTAACATTTAAAATCTAGTTTTCTGTGGAAACATGTTGCTCCAATTTAATGTAGATTTTTAGCCCTGCTTAGATGCACCAAAGCATCTTAATAGAAGCTTTATTTAGTAAGGGTCACCTCCTCTAGCTGTAACTGAATTCCATTAAAAGAATAGCATAAAAAAGTGACTAAGGGTAGTAATCATCTTCTAATGAAATATGCCCTCCTCAAAGCAGAGAAGTGGAAGTCTGCTAGGACAGAATATTGTATATGCTGCCAGATGTGGTCATTGAAGCAGATGTTTTTGCTCAGTTGTTTTGCTTCATCACATGGGAGTATTCCATCTGGAGAAGCCCAGGAGGGCTGAATTGACTCCGATACAAAGACACAATGGGCACCCACATTAAACTAAAAAAAAACACCATAGGATCATTGGATCACTCTTTGTGTATGTTGTGAGGGAGCCCTGACTCTGCTATCAGGATGCCAGTTCTTTTATAGCCTTGGAGTATTTTGTGTTATACCTGTTGCCATCTGGTGTGACTTAGTCATTGTCATTTTCCTGACTGGCTTCCTAGGAGGTTCCAGCCCTATAGATTACAAAACTAATTAGGAGGATAAAGAAAAGTAACGTCTTAAATGGCATACATTTTAGTCCCAAGTGATGTTTCTGGCTAGTGTCCCACTTCTTCTGCTTACACCGGGCAGTAGTACTTGCTGCCTCGTCATTTCATTTTACTGTTTGTTTCGGATGCCATTGGTCTGTGAGTCTCCTCTCATGTGAGTGCTAGAGTAAAGTTCTAGGAGAACTTTGGTTATATAGCATTAGTTATTCTTTTTTCCCTCTGCTTTGGTTTTACTCTTTTCTCCTAGTTCTCTTTCTAGCTGACTGACCACTTATCAGTTTCTTATGTAATTAGATCATCATCCATAGCTGGACCCCTAGCCATGGCTGTGCCCTAAGGTTCCATCCTGGTCCTCCTCTTCTTTCTCTGTATTCTCTTTCTTGGTGATCTCACCAGAGGTTTACTTGTCATCTCTATACAGATGACTTCAGGGGCTAGGTGGTACAGTGAATAGAGCTCTGACCTTGGAGTCAGGAGGACCTGAGTTCAAATCCAGCCTCAGACACTTAATACTTACTAGCTGTGTGACCCTGGGCAAGTCATTTAACTCCGGTTACCTAAGCAAAAAAAAATTTTTTTTAATTAAAAAAAAAAAATAAATGACTTCAAAAATCTATATATCCAGCTCTACTCTCTATCCAGAACGCCAGCGTTGTATCACCAATTGCCTGCTAGAAAGCTCTACCTGGATGTCCTGTAGGCATCTCAGATTTTAATACATCCAAAACAGAACTAATTTCTTTACCCCTAGATTGACCTCTCTCCCTCTTTTGTTGAGGGCGCCACTGTTCTTTCCAGTCATCCAGGTTTATAACCTCAGAGCCGTTTCTTAACCCTTCCCTTTCCTTCACCCTCATATCCAATTGATTGCTAAATCTTTATTTCTGGTATACATTCTCTCCTCTACACTCATATGATGGCCACAGTTTCTTAGCTTTGCCCTTGAATTCCCAGTGCCCATCACTTGGTAGGCACCTAATAAGTGCTTGCTGAATTGAATTGGGCTTGAAGCATCTAAAAGCCCCAATAATGGGGAAGGAGATGCTTGTCTGAGTTGGTTTGGGCTTTTAGGAAGAGAGGCTCATGCTTAGTTGCCTCTGTAGTTAAAGCCGTTACCCAAATAATTTGATAACGATAGGACTGATCCTGTGATTTCAATGATAGAGGAATCTCCCTGTACCAGTTCAGGTCAGCACGTTCTCTGCAACTCTTAGCCTTAGTTGTCTAGAACCCTGACAACTCAAATGAAATTGCCCAGGGTCACACAGTCAGTATGTGTCAAAGGCATGACTTGAACCCAGGTCTTCCCGACTCTGTGGCCAGCTCCATCTGCTGCTGGCAATGATACTTGTCCTATTAGCTGTCTGATAGCCACACTTGTTGCTTCTTCAAGGTTGGGTCAGATCCAAACATATTCAGGGGGGTTATTCCACTGGGCTATGCCAGGTTATCTTGTGACCCTCATCTCAGGAGCCCTCATGTAGTGTTAGTTGCTGTATGGCTATGGTGTCTCAGATAGCATTCTCCCTGTATAAGTCTAACACTGGCTACTTTCTAAACTCATTCTTTGTACTTTAGCATGAGGTCAAGTCAACAACAAGTCAGAGGGCTCTCAGCTCCAAAGACTGGCATCTGGTGTCTGGTCTGTGGATATCTCAGGGTGCCAGTCCGCCGATATTTGTTGCTTCCCTGGACACCAACTCATTATTTTTTAATTAGAAACTCAGCCAGCAGCTTGGTGAATATTTAGCATTTCTGTTCTACAGAATCTGCCTCTTTCATAATCCATCATGGCTTGGAGCATGCACATGTACATATGAGTCTTTTCTATGCCAGACTGAAGGCATGAAGTAATTGACCTTGAGTTAACAACCTCTTGCTGGGGCTAATGACTGACACTTGACCCATGTCCACTCAGGGTGACATCGTTGCCCTCTGTTTGCATGCTGAAAGGCTGAGGACCTCCAAGAGTATCTGCTGTGCTAGGAAGGAGGGGTGAGGATGGTGACTTAATTTAGCTGCCAGATCCCTATGCTAAGCCAGGAATAAGCTTGCTACCCACTTTGATCAACTAACTTTATTTCTCTCCCACCAGCAAGAATTTTCAGAGGCTTCCAAATCTGATGACAATTCGGGAACTTTCAACTCTACCAATATATAATCCTGAAAAGGATCTTCTTCCTACCAGGCTGTGGGCCTCCCTATCTTCACTGGGGTGGTTTTGACATCCCTGTAGTTCAAGTTTGTTCTCACTTGAGAAGATGTTTAAACCAGTGATTAGATTCCATAAAATGTCTGTGGCTTCTCATCCTAGGGATGGAGAGTCCTGAACAATAATGTTTATTTACTTTGACTGTGATGTGGTAGATAAAGCCTTGGACCTAAGAGTCAGAAGACCTGGGTTCAAATCCTCTGCCACTTAACTTTGGAACAGAGGAAGTCATTTTAACTCCTCTGTGCCTTAGGCTCTCTATTTGTTAAATGGGAATAACTTACATCTGCCTACTTAATCTTGGGAAGAAGGTTATAAAATACCATATAAGTATTTGTTGTTGAAATAATGAGTTATTTTCTAAAAAAATTAAAATAAAGCTAGTTAAAAGTTAAATAAAATAAAGCTAGTTAAAAGTATATTGGAAGAGCAAATGTTCATTTTCTTCTGTAAGATCTGTCTGTGAATATGGTGTATTTAGGGTGGGAAATGTTGATCTTTAATTCATGGATTGATAAATTTGTTAGCTTTTTTCTTTAATCACAGAGATCCTTAACCTGGGATTTTAAAGTATTCTGATAAAATTATTACTATTGATAATAACGTTTATGTAGCACTTTGAAGTGCCTTACGTGCAGTATCTCATTTGACTCTCACAACAACCCATCATGTAGGTGCTATTATTATGCCCATTTTATAGATGAGGAAACAAAGGCTGAGAGGTTACATGACTTGCCCAAGGTCATACAGCTAGTAAATGACTGGAAAAGATTTGAACTCGGGTCTTCCTCACTCCAAGTACAATAATTTGTTCACTGCACTATAATTGGCTTCCTTTGGAATCTTATGTATTTTATCCATTCAAAAACATTTTGAGAGGGTCCATTGTCATCACCAGATTACCAAAGAGGTCTGTGACACAAAAATCTTAAGACCCTGTGCTGTGGTATCTCATTTTTGCTACTTCTCCTTCCCTCGTCCGCCCCAGCTGTGAGCTCCAGCTTCTAGTCGGCCATGGGCATAAAACATTTCATATTCCTAATTAAAAACGGGGAATGGCTGAGAGATGCAGTTCAGCCATTTTCTTTCTGCCCTCGTGCCACATAGTAGGCTTTACCTTAGACCTGCTGATTTGATCTCCTCATTCTTGGTAAGAGGAGAGGGGGCCAAGAAGTCACTGATAGAGGCAGGAAGAGACCCATTTTTGAAGTTGTAATAGTTGTGCTTGTTTGCTGCAGAAAGCTATAGCAGAACTTGCTTCTTGATTAAATGGGATCTGTGCTCTTTGGTTTTAGTTCCTTTAACAGAAGTGTACTAAGTGTCTTTTATATGCAAAGCACTATGACAGGTGTCAGGGATCCAAAGAGAAAACGACAGTCTGTCATCCAGGAGCTTAAGGGGTGGGAGGTATGCCTTGTACACAAATAAGTGTAAAATGAGGGAGTGACAGGGGCAGAGGAAAGATCAAGGTGAAGATTGAGGAGTGAAAGAGCACTTTGAACTGGAGGTTTTGGGGGAGGGGGCTACATAAAAGAGGCAGCACATGAGCTGAGCTTTGAACAGAGAAAAGGACTCTTGAAAGTAGGGAAGACTAGAGAGTTCAAGGTAGGTAATGGGGGGTGCAATCAGTGCAAAATGGGCATCATTGCCAAGTTGTATTGGAGAAAAAGTGTGGGACAGGTTTAGCAAACAGCAAGTTTAGTTGGAGTGTAATGTATGTGAAGGGGACTAATGTAAAGTAAGGTTGGAAAGGTAGGGCGGAACCAGACTCTGAAGAGCCTTAAATGCTAGACCTAGGAGTTGGTATGTTATGCTTATAGGTGATAAGAAGCTGCCACTGAATATTTTTGAGCAGGGAAGACATGGTTCCTTAGGAGTTTTATTTTGGTTCCTATGGGAAGGATGGTTTGGAGAGGGGAGAAATTGGAGGCAAGGAGACCAATTAGGAGGCTGATTTTTTTTTTTTAACAATTTCGTGGTAGCAGTCCAGGTGGGGGATGATGAGGACCTTGATTAGGCTGGTGGCAATATGAATGGGATGACGTGGGACTTGGAACAAGATGGTGGAATAAGTGGTCATGGCTAATTCCAGCTTCCCTCTACCACCTTAAAACAACAACAACAGATGTGCCAGTTAAAAGAACCAAAAAAAAAAAAAAGAGGAGAAAGGAAATGAACATCCAGAGGAAAAATCTTACAGGAAAACTAAAAGACCTAAGAAGCAAGTAAGAGACCCCAACATAGTGAATAAGATGAGGTGAAGGTAAGAGCAAGATTGCAATGACAACTATGCCTCTAAAAGAGAAAAGCCTTCAGAGTAGTTCCCATCACAAGAAGAT